TGGACAAACAAGTATCTTTGGTGTGGCAGGAACTGTAGACACTTTCTATTACATGTATTTACGAGGCGGGCTTCGATCCTGCTCGTCAGGGTAACCCAAGCTGACAGGGCTACAACATCCCAGCAGACAAACACCCGGAGATACACGTACATGATAAAGAATTTCCCCACTCGGGAATCGGACTTACGTCTGCTATGTACACAGACAACGGGCATAAACGTTACAAATGGGGACTCTCATGGCCTAGAGGTTAAGATGTTGGCCTCTCATTCAAAGGTCCCGAATCTGGGTAGCGAGCGAAATTTTTTCTTCTCTAAAATTGTCTCCTTTCACATCCTTTCCTGTTCTCTAGCAATGTTGTGTCGTCTGCTTTTGTTTCCTCTTTCTTCCCCTACCCCCTCATCTCATTTGCCCTCTCTTCTTGGCCCCTAACTCTTTCTGCAGCCTTTCGTTCGCTCCTTCTTACTGCTGTCTTTCAGCCACACCCCTGATCTTATGATAGGAAAGATCTACACCGAGCCTTCTCGGACAAGGGCGAAAAATCTCGGAGGTCCCGAGTGCAAGTTGAGCAGGTTAAAGATCCCTTGGTGGTCGAAAATCAATAAGAGTAGGCTTCGGCCGCCACCCGGGCAAAATTCAAAAATATATCTTCTGAAATTTTTTTAATGTGTCCTGTGCTCTCATATGACCTTATTATGCAGTTTCGAGCGCCGTGAAAAACATTTACCAAAAATAAATAATAAAACGAAAAAAACAACCCAAAACAACCTTACAAACTAAACACTGGTGTCTGTAATGTCATAGCATGACGTTTCACCGTTGAATGTGGGGCACGCACGTGAATTCGATTACCCTTTAAAGTATGTTTTATTGAATAGGCTAATTCCCGTCGGCATGTAAGCATGCTGTATCCGACTCTGCTCAGGTTAGCCCCAACGTGCTGGGCCTAAGCAGCCCGCCTCCAAGTTGTCGATGGGAGCGTAAAGTACTTCCGATGCGCCCCCCCCCCCTCCCAAATAAATAACTCACAACCAAAACGACAAAATTAAACAAAACGTGAGTGGTCGGCGGGTGTTGCTGTGCAGTTTGCTCCTTCTTTCCTTTCAAACACCTGTCCCCCTTATCTCACCCACTTTTAGTGTCTGTTACTTTCTTATAACATCTCTACTCTTTGGCACTTACGTGTCCTAATTGTGTTACGAGATCAACAGGACATGCAAAGATGATCCTAAGGGCAGTATGCAAGGAGGGGAGGGGGAGGGTTAGGAAAAGCAAATAGAAAAAGAGAAGGGAAGACGGCATAACGGAATGGGCAGGTTTATAGATGGGCAAAGCCCTTCGAAAGGCTGAAGAAGAAGGAGGAGGAGGAGCAGGAGGAGGAGGAGGAGGAGGAGGAGGAGGAGAAGGAGGTGGAGGAAAACAAAACAAAACAAAGCCGCACGCAATATATGACAAAGTCCATCGATGTTTCAGGTGGACCTAGCCGAAGTGTTTCAGCGATTGGACAGCGTTCACCAGATCCCGCCTTCCTTGGAGAGAATGAAGAGCTCATTGGACGAGGTGCTCGAGTCTGACAGCGAGGACACGCCCATCATCGGTGACGGAAAAGACAAGGTGAGTGCAGTCCAATCTGCTCTAACGGCCACCTGTACAAAACGAGCACTTGTACAAACGGCCAATATGTCTATTTCATCCGTTGCAGAGTTTTCGTCTTTGTTTCTGTTCTTTGTTTCTTACAGTGTCCTCACACTGTGTAAGACGCCCATCTGAATAAGGAATCCATTTTTCTTTTCGACGATGGCTGGCCGTATTAGACCATTTCGCATGTATGTTGGAAGCCAAGAGAAAAGCCAGCACTCTGCGTACATCCACAATGGAATTGGAGCTTTGAATGATTATAACGATGATGATGTAGTAGCAGTAATAACATTATTTTTTATTATTGTTATTGTCATTATTATTTTCATCATTATTATCTTTGATATTATTATTAGGCCTATTATCACTTATACTTACGAATACGATGAGGATGTGGCTTTTTGGTGCTTGTTGTTCTTTCGTAGCTGATTTTACATTTTTTTTAAAAAGACAGAACGAAAAGGCGAAACAGAGCCCCCCC